GGATCTCAAACACAGTTTGTGTCCTTATCTTATTGTGGACTCAGAATATCTGTCCTCTGGACACATTGTTATGTTCACCAAATGGGAAGCTCATTCAAGTTACAGTGTTCAGAATTTTTATTGGGGTTCCATTAATGTAGGCATGATTGTGTGAGTCATTGGGCACATGATCAAACCCAGTCTCCAGCCCCTGTCCCTTCCCTGGAGATGGGGGTGACATATCACTTGACTCAAGGCCTCAGTCCTCTAACCACATGGTTAGTCCTGCTATCATGAACGGTCTTCATCCTAAGCCATCTCATTATCCTCAATTCAGGTATGGTCAAGGGGCCCACCATGGACAACAAAGTGCTCCTACCCCCAGGAACCCAGGACACAGACCAGACCATTTCTTTATTATAAACAGAAGCCACATCTGATTCACCTTCGCCTCTTCTCCAGTGCTTAGTGCAATGCTCTGCACACAACACTCATGTTTATTAAAACAATGACAAAGTGGGCTTTAGGAAGCCAACACTAGCAATTTGCTTAGGATGGATTGCAGAGATCAGTTAAGACTGTTGCAAGAGAACTGATGCTGTTTCTTGGACTCTTTCAATATTCTGTTGGTGCTAAGATTGGGGAAATGTAAACTACAAAAGTTAAATTGCTCTCATGCTCCCCCCTCCCAACTGCAGTAATTTCCTGTATGTTAAACTTTTTCAATTAAGCCCTCTACTGGGAAGTTAAAGACCTTGTGTCTTCTCACTCATTTAATTGATTAACAGCTTGTGATAATGTTTTAATATTATCATATTGTTATTGATAGTTCTCCACACCAACACACCATGATGAGGAGGATTTGCTTTAAAATAATCCTGGAAGTGGATGGGGGAAGATACAAATGAAACAAGAGTGATCATGAGTTACTAATTACTGAAAGTGGTGATGGGTGATTAGTACCATTAAAAATAAAATAAAATAAAGAACTATAATGTTACTAATTGTATCCTCCACAGGCTCCATTCCCATGGTCCTTCCCTCCATCTCCCACCAGTAACCATTATCCTAAATTTTCTCTTTATTAATTTCCCTGCTTTTTATCACTTGATGAATTCCTTAAAAATACATTGCTTAATAAAAGAGAATAAAATCATGGCATTTGCAGGTAAATGGATGGCGTTGGAAGTCAGCCAATTACAAAAAAACAAATGCCGAATGTTTTCTCTGATACAAGGAGGCTGATTCATAGTGGGGTTGGGAGGGGGAGCATGGAGGAATAGACGAACTCTAGATGGGGCAGAGGGGTGGGAGGAGAAAGGAGGGCACATGGGGGTAGAAAAGAGGGTGGAATGAGAGGGACGTCATTACCCTAAGTACATGTATGAAGGCATGAATACTGTGAATATACTTTGTATACAACCAGAGATATGAAAAATTGTGCTCTACATGTGTATTATGAACTGTAACGCATTCTGCTGTCATATATAACAAATTAGAATAAAAGATTTGAAAAATACACTGTTTAGTTTGGCTTGTGTTTGAGCTTTGTAAAAATGGTATCATATTACGATAGTCTCTGGGGACTTGCTTTTCTTTGTTCAACATTGTTTCTAAGCTTCATTCATAACTTTTTGAGGGGCTGTAATTGATTCATTTTCACTGCTATATAATAATCCATGGTGTGAATGGACCCCAACTACCACTGATTTGCATTATCTGAACCTGCTTATGTTGTCATACTTGTGAATTTTGCCAACCTAGTGGGTATAAAATCTTTCATGGAAGTCTTAAATTGTATTTCCTTGTTACTATGAGGTTTAACATGGTTACCTATGCTCATTGGCTATTTCTTTTTCTGTACAGTTCCTTCTTATACCTTTCACTATTTTTTTCCCTTATAGGGCTGTCTTTTTTCTTACTGATTTTGTAAGATTTTTTATATATACTAAAGCAGTATTCTTTACCATTTTCAGAAAAGGAAATTTGTAGTTGTAGCTGGACAGCATGCCTTTATTTTATTTGTTTATTTTTTATGCAGTGCTAAGGATCGTACCCAATGTCTCACATGTGCTAGGCAAGTGCTCTGCCATTGAGCCCCGGTCCCAGCCCAGTATTCCTTATCATCTATCAATTTGTTCATCTATACAATTTTTATTACAAAATATGTTGTTCATTTCTTTCATGTTACCCAGGAAGAAAACTAAAGTGTAGAAGGGAAAAGCAACTTGCTTAATACCACAATTTGTTTTTAGCAATGCTGAGGTTAGCACTTGGACTTTTTACTCTAAATTAAATCATGTTCCTATGATACTGTGACAACCTCTTTTATTGGTTTGTCTCATTTTCATTTAAAAAATTAAAAAGAACCCAAGTGATACATGTTCATGATAGAAAAAAGAAAATAAAATCCACACGATGAAGAAAATAAAAGTCAGTTTTGATATAAGCAACTACAGTTTATATTCTTTTTTTTTGTTAGTATTTTTTATTGGTTGTTCAAAACATTACAAAACTCTTGACATATCATATTTCATACATTAGATTCAAGTGGGTTATGAACTCCCATTTTTACCCCAAATACAGATTGCAGAATCACATCGGTTACACATCCACATTTTTACATAATGCCATATCAGTTTATATTCTCTATTTGCTCTCCATATAAGAACTATAGCAGATTGTTAATATGTAGTGCTTGCAATGTATTAATTATTACAGTGTGCTTATTATGTGTCAGGCATTTTCTAAACACAATACACGTTTCTTTTAATCTTACCTAGGATTCTGGGTAACGGTGATGTAGATAATCACCATTGGCTAGAATGGCTAGCAAGTGACAGGCAGAATAATAGCTTCCCAAAGTTTCCATATTTTAATCTCAGGAACATGTGATGACGTCATGTTACATGGCAAAGGAAAATTAAGGTAGCAAGCAAATGAAGGTTAAAATGGGGCAATTATCCTGGATTTTCCAGATGGACCCAATGTAATCAAAGTGATCTTAAATGTGGAAGAGGGAGGTAGAAGCATCACTGTCAGAGTGATGCAATGTGAAAAAATTTCAACCAGCCATCACTGGCTTTGAAGACAGAGGAAGGGGCCATGGGCCAAGGAATGAGGGCAGCGTCTAAGCCCTGAAAGGGTACGAAAACAGATTTTCCCCTGGAGCTTTCAGAAGGGATTACAGCCCTGTGAATCCCTTGATGTTAGCCCAGTTATGGCTAACCTTGATGTTAGAATCAGGCAATGGAGAGATTATCATGGATTATCTAGGTGGGCCCAATGTCATCACCAGGATCTTGATCTGAAGGAGGCAGGAGGATGAGAGTTAGGGAGAAGATATGATGACTAGTGCAGAGGCTGGAGCACTGCTCTTTCAAGGTTGAAAAAGGAGCCAGGGCCAAGGAGGGTAGAAAGGCTAAGAAACTGATGTGGGATAAGCTATAGGAGAAGCCTCCAGATATCCTGTTGAGCATCTGGAGGGAGTGTGGTCTGACACCCTAATTTGGTCCAGAGGAACCCATTTTGGACTTCTGATTAACTATAAGAGAATAAATTTGTATTGTTTTAAGCCAGTAAGTTTGTGGTGGTTTGTTACAACAACAACAGCAAATGAATACACCTAGTTTAGAGCTGGCCAAGGCCACATGGTTAGCAAGTGACAGGCAGCATTTGAACCCAAGCCATCTGACTTCAGAGACCATCTCCTTTACCACTATATATACAGATATATATCTGTATATATGTATGTATATATACATATATCACATATACCATATATATCATATATATATATATGTATATATATATGTATATATACATATACACACACATACACATCTGGGTATATAGATTTAATCAGTACAAACACTTCAATACATGCAAATCTTCCATATTATTTTAATAGTTATCTAGCATCAGCATATAAAATTTTTGCTTCATTGAACATCCCTGATAATGGACATTTAGGTTGTCTCCAATGTTTTGATATAAAACTGACAGTGACAAACATCTCTTTAATGATATTAATTATTTCTTTGGGAAAAACTTTTAGAATATCAAAAGAAGTACATTTTAGGAAAAGGCCAACTTACCACCAAAAAGATTGCACTATAATATAATTTAAAGCAAATCACACAACTGGAGTAGGAATATATCTGCCTTCTGTTTCTGCAATTTTTCCGTTATTATTGTGTTTTTCCTACTGGTGATACACACTTGACACAATTGTTTTTGTTTTTAGCTATACCATGATTTCTTCTGTAGAATCTTTCTCATTAAGTTAAAGCAAAAGGGTATTTAGAAGTCATTTAAGTTACAGTTAAAGTTTCCCAGGCTGGGAGAGGTGAACACTCATCAGGCTGCCTGGCGAAAACAAACCCACAAGCCTGACTCCAAGTCCAGCTGTCTTTCCTCATCTGCTGCAAATGTCATGATTATAGCCCCCAGGTTGGTACCATTATTGATTTTTTCCCCTCTTCAAATCATGCGAGAAATCTTTTGTCCTTTTAATCAGAAGGGCTGTAGGACAAGAGGCTTCCACATACTGGTGCTGAAACAAACTCTAGCTCTTTCCTGGAGCAATCCTATTTTTCATTTTCTCCAGTGAAATTTGGTAGGATTGATGGCAGACAATACCCACCCCCCATATTTTAATACGAGTTCTTAGAAGGGATAATGGGACATTTTTCATCATCCCCTTTTGCCTTTTATCCTAACTTGGTTCCCGCGTTCCCCAGTAACACTAAGGTAACTTGTCCTGGCATCTGATGTACACAAGGCATGCAAACTCTTTCTTCCCTCTGAAGCAAACAATGAAATAGGAAAGCACACTGCCATTTTCTGACTGACCTCAATCGCTGAGGGTGGACCCCGCACGTTACATCAGCAGGCCGGCTCCATTACACTGCCCTGCGCTGTGCTCGAGCTACTGAAATATTGATTTTTACAGAGCCGGCGCACACACACTGAAAAATCAATATTCCAGTGCACACAACAGAACAGGCGGCAGAGCCGGGACCAACTCCGAGGCCCAGCAAGCACTGCCGGCAGGCCTCGGCCAAGCAGGGGGTGGGGGGCTGGAGGAGACAATGCCTGGGGAGAGGCCCCAGCAAACCCGGGAAGGGTCAGATAAACAAGTCAGTGTGGAGAGGGAAGAGAAAGGAGAGTGGAGAGAAAAATCCTTGAGGATAAAACAGTTGGAAGGAGCAGAGATTTGTCTTTCCATAGGGGGAAATAGGGAGAAGGAAAGAGTATATTAAGAAGAGAGAATGGGAAGAATTTTCCAGGTAAGAATCTTCCCATGAAAATACTTCTTTTGTTTTTCTGTATCATTCGGCCAGATTTAAGATGAAAAAATTATAAAGATGACACAGATACTTTATTAAACGAAAAGGAAATAACTAGGCCAGTTCTGGGGGGAAAAATATATATCTCAGCCCCTTTTTTCTTTGGTGACTGGAGGCTGGGAGACCTTATGATAGCCACCAAAGAGTCAGCATTTATAACGCGGGTCTATCTTTGCGATGCCATTTACTTTCTTTTCCTTGGGGAGAGGGAGGGAAGGAAAACATCCTGGTCATGTGGTCACTCATTGATTCCCTTTATTCTACAAAAGCAGCTTCTCTGGCAAGCTTGGGGATGACATTCAGAATTGATTCCTTTTACCTACTCCATGACTTCTTAGGGAATTGGGAGCTTCCCTGAGTCACACCTCCTTCCAGATTGGGGAGGAGAGCAGGACTCCAGGTTGTACTCTTGGGTGCCCAGTACCCAGCAGAGGTCAGAGTGGAAACCTAGTGGCCTGTAAAATTTTTAGAAAAACGTTAAAAAAAGAAAAAAGAAAAAGAAAAAAAAGAAAACCCAGAACTGGCGTTTGCTACTTTCAGTTAGCTTTCTGGCCTCTTTTAAATTGTGGATGGGTGGTGGGCAGTTAATTAAAAAGGACGACTTTTAACTTTCGTGAATTCTTGATTTTGCTTTTTCCTAGAATTTTCTTACCAGAAATCTCGCTATTAGTTCTTTCAACTCCCAATCAAGGGTAGGAAGCTGTCCTCCCCGGTTGCCAGAGTACCTGCTGGTACTCTTCCCAGACGGCAGCATCGCTGCTTCTTCTTTCCCAGCCCAGAAGAGACCCAGGCCCAACGTAGGCTCTGGCCTGGGATCCTGGAAGGGGTGCCGGGGGAAGCGGGCATTCGGTGGCACCTTGCAAAACCCGGGTCCTTTGGGCCAATGGAGCTGGCTTGGGCCAGCGTTCAGCAGACTGTCACTGCAGGCCAAACCCGCGTTGTGGCAGCGGGGTGGGCGGGAGGGCGGGACAGGACGTCTAGCCAGGTGGCCACCTGGAGTGCCCCGCCCTCCCAGCCCCGCCCCCGACCGAGCTGGCGAGCCGCGCCCCCCGCGCCCGCCCCGGTGACCGCCCCCAACCCAACACTGCCGCTCTATTTGCATAAGGAGGTGTCTCTGGGACTCACCCGGGGCGCACGTGACCCCGGGGGAGGCGGAGGGAACCTGCTGACTTGACACGAGCCGCTTTGCGGCTCCCCTTGGCGCGGAATAGCGAGAGCAGCCGTGACCTCCGACCCCGCCCGCCGGCAGCCAATAAGAGCGCAGGTCGTCTCCAAACCCAAAATTTCCACGTCGGCAAAAGTCAAGATGGAAGGGAGCGGAGCGGAGCGCAGGGGGGGAGCCGGCCCGGGAGTGCCTGGCGACCGGCGCTGAAAGGACAGGCTGGGGACCCTGTGGCGGATGCACAGGGGACCACACGCGAGGGTGTCCCGAAGGGGCCAGGCCGGAGTGCGACCACCGCCGGTAGCCCCGGGAGACTCTGGACGCCCCGCACTTCTCCAGCCGCCTGTGCACCCTGGCCCGAGATCGCAGCCCACTGCACGTCCGGCCCGGGCTCATGGGGGTCGTAGGGGACGGGACGGTGCGGGGCGGTGGGGTAAAAGATGGGGAAGGCACTTTCCAGACCTGTTGCACGGGCGCAACAGCTGTTTCAGCGCGGTATGTGGGGGGAGGGGCCTGCCGGGGTCGGGAGGGAGGGTGGTCGGAGGTACTTAAGGGACTGGGGGTGCAGGACCAGGGCGAAGAGCCGAGGGCCGGTGTTGGGGGGCTGTATGCAAGAAGAAAGGTTGTGTGTAGACGGGGTACGCGGGAAGCTCTGCTTAATAGGAGAATCCCGAAGAGTGGGTGGGTGGAGCAGAGGGGACCGAACTGCATAGACACTAGTTCCCCTGGCTAGGCGCGGGCTGCTGCAAGATCGGGAATAGAATAGTGGGAATGGCTGGGTGAACTGGAGGCCCCGCAAAGCCTCGCTTTTCAGGGTGTCCCATCTGCGGGGCATTTCTCGGGCCTGTGTTTGCCCACTCCCCATCTCCCAGCTCCGGGCATTCGTCCTTATGTAGCTCCCCTCCCCCATCAACTTTCCAGTTGGGAAACTAAAAAGTTGCCACAAGTTAGGAGTGAATGAATTAGTTTCTTACAAAAGTCTAAATCACAGAACCGAGGACGTGAGGGTTCCACCGGGAATGAGTTCTAATGGGGGTGGGTAGGAAGGAGGGGGAGGGCGTGTGAGGCCAGCAGTCCATTTGCTGTGACATTGCTATCAGAATTTGTCATACCAGGTTGTTAGAACACCATTTCTGTTGGGCTTTTGCTCCTGCTGACTGCGGCAGTAACTTTCCATAATTAATGACCCGTTCCATTATCGGTCGCATCCTGAGCTAAATTGCTTCTAACGAGTTATTCTTCTTTGTCTTCGCTGGGGGTGGGGGAACACACCTGCAGGCGGAAACTTCTAGAGGAAGACAGCCCGTTTGGTCTTTTGAGGCAAAGTTCTGAGACACTCCGACTCTGAGTATGATAGAAGTCAGTGCACTACAGAACTTTGTCTCTAGAGGCTGTGGTCGCCGCCTCCGCCGCGAGAGCTCCGGACGCCGGGCTGGGTGGCCCTGCTGGCCACGTCGCTGAGCCTTTCCTTTGGGGGAGGGGCGAGGCTAGAGCGGGTTCAAGTGCCACACGAGGAACTTGATCAACTCCTTTGAAGCCAGGGGGTTAAACCATGTAAAGGGGAGAAATCCCCCAAATCTGTTAATCTTACCTCGTGAACACCTCACTTCAGAGGACAGTTTTTGTTTTGTTTTGTGTGTATGTTTTGATTTAAGGGGAGGGGGAAGCTTTGTGTTTTTCAAGGTTATTTTAAAAATACTGGCTTCACTTATTGAGCGAGGAGAGCCGCAAGTTTATTAATGGGTGTGTTGGTGTGCAATGCCTTACAGAAATCTAAACTCTGCACCCTTAAAGAAGGAAATGATTTTGTTCCAAAGCCACGGTTAATGCTCCCTTTTCTCAAGTGCCCTGATGGATAAATGAGAGCCTGCAAGGGTTGAGTTTGGAGATCTAGTCTCAATTCTGTTTCTGATTTAGGTCCAGTTTATTCTTATTTTTTAAAGCAGGTTTCATTAATGGAAAGGAAGCACTTTTTCCAAGAAAGCATTTTGACAGACATTTAGGGAGGTGGCATTTATACTTTTGGGCTGTGAGATACTTTACATGGAAAAGCTGCTCTTCTCCTCCCTAATGGAATGTGGGTTGTGGTTCGTGAGTTCCTATCAATAGCCTGCTCTGTGCAGTGGGCAGTCACTGGCACTGAATTGTAGACCTGTACCATAGGCATTGCCCTGTTTGGGTTTTATGAGCTTTTGGCTGGACAGCTGATCGATCCAAGGAATTACAAAAAACTCCTTATTAACAAAGGCACTTATCCAACATTATGTGTGTAGTGCCTGCTGGGAGCCAGGGTCAGGGCACAGGGTGATGAATAGAAAGGAAATGGTGTGGGTGCCATGTTGCTGACAGCCAAACCAGGGGAGGACTTCCTGGCATAATCTGTGGGGAGCTCCAGAAGTCTTGGGATTGCCTGTTTGTGTGACTGAGAGGTCCTTGATTAAAAAAAAAGAAAGAAAGAAAGAAAGAAAGAAATCATCTATTTAATTATGTTCCAGCTGATTTATCATTGAAGAGCAGTGAAAATGGAGGAAGGGTAAATGGGGGAAAGTATTCAGTAATTTGGTTAGAGCCTAATGGACAGATTTGCCAATTGATTTTCCCAGGAGTGCTATGTCTTGGTCCTTAGGTAGCCTGTGTGTTTTGATGAGGCTATTATCCATATTTTCTGCCTTGTCATCAGTGACTGTTTTGCTTAATTTTCTCAATCTTTACCTAAAAGGTGGCTGAATTTTATTTGTTGAGTTAAATAAAACGATTCAAACTCAGGTACCTCTTGTGTTCATTTGAGATGGGAATTATGCTTATTTGTAAAGAAGATTCCCTTTCCTGATTTTTGTGTACAAATGTGTCCACAAGATATTCTGAAAATACCAAACACCTACAAAACTTAAGCCAACTTTGTAAGAGAATGCATGTGGCTCTTTGAGGGGATAGGGTGGAGTCCTTGGCTAAGGAAGTGGTCATCCGTGCAAAGGTTTGGATCAGGACATCATCTCCAAGGAAGGGTAAGGTTTGGAGTCTCCAACAGGGTTCCATCTGGTTTGACTTTATGCTAATATGATTTGCTTAGAAATCTTTGCTTTGTTTCCTTCCTGAGATCTCTAATGAGTGAAACGACTAACTAGTCTGGAAGGCTGTGGTTTATCCTGGTGCTAAGGATGCCAGGAATTGGAACTAGGAAATTCAGCAGTCTGGAGGTGCTTACTGCAAACCTGGCTTTGTCATCTCCTGAGCATGAGGAGGGGATGTGGGCAGTGAACACAATAGGCCCAAATGTCAGCCTTCTTGGAGGTCATTTTTGTGGAGAGAGACAATTAAGTGTAAGCTAGTCAGAAAGATAGTAAGCATGCCAGGGAGGGGTGAGTGTTATTTTCACCCAGATTGCTAGGTCCAAGAAAATCATCACCAACAGCCTACTTTGAGTGGCTCAAGCTCACCTGCTGGGTGTGGTGGCACATGCCTACAATCCCAGTGGCTCAGGAGGCTGAGGCGGGAGGGTTGCAAATTTGAAGGTTGCAAATTTGAACCCTGGTTCAAAAAATAATATTTTTTTTTGAAGTGAATGAACTGAATGACAGATGCACTTGAAACTATATGTAAACACTGGTTGCCCTCCCCCCCCCTTTTTAAGAACATTTTTGTTTTCAAATGTAAAGGGTGGGAAATGGTGGTGGTGGTGCTAGAAAGATCTTTGGTGAAGAGGCAGGAGCTGGGGGAACCGTGTCACTGGGCTACTGAATCTTCACATGCATAGAATCCAACTATATCTTCCAACAGC